GCAAGTGATTTAGCAAGAAATTAAGAGCCCGTAGATAACTACGAATGAAAAGGGTGCTAATACCTTCCTTTTTCATAATCTACCCCCCAAACTCAAGAAAATAATCTCGAAGGTCTTTCCTGTTCTTTTCAACCTTTCCTTATTGGATAAAAGAAAAGTCGGTGGTGACTCTTGCTATCTGCAAAAATTGCGACAAAATGAAAAAACACCAAGTCAGTTCTCCCACCGTGTTACACAGGGGTTTTGTGATCTTAGCAAAGTTTTTTATGAATTTCCGGTAGAAACTAGCGTGTCCAAGAAAAATTTGGAATTCTCTAACAATTTTGGATGGTTAGAAGTTCTCAATAACATCAATCTTATCCTTGTCAACTTCGATTCCTTTTTCAGACATTATATGTCCCAAGACTATGCTCGCATTTACCATAAAGTGACACTTCTCCCAATTCAACACTAAGTTGACTTTCACACACCTTTTCAACACCTTTTCTAAATTCATAAGGCAACTTTCGAAACTTGATCCACATACAGAGAGGTCATCCATGAAGAGTTCCATGATATCATCTAAGAAGTCTGCAAAGATTTCCATCATGCATATTTGGAAAGTTGTCAGAGCATTACATAACCCAAATGGTATTCAGTGGTAAGCGAATGTGCCATACGGGCAGGTAAAGGTGGTATTTTATTGATCATATAGATGGATTGGAATTTGGAAAAATATTGAATATTCGTCTAAGTAATAAAAATGTGAGTGTTTTGCCAGGCGCTCAAGCATCTGGTCTATGAAAGGAAGAGGGAAATGGTCTTTCCTGGTGGCTTTGTTTAATTTCCTATAATCAATACACATTCTCCACCATGTCCCTGTGCACTTAGCTATTGATTCACATTTGTCATTATGCACTACACTTACTCCTCCCTTCTTTGGTACCACATGTACCGGACTAACCCACTGGTTGTCCGATATCAGGTAAATGATCCCGGCATCAAGTAGTTTCATCACTTCCTTCTTAACTACCTTACTAATGTTAGGATTAATCCTCCTTTGATGCTCTCTAGAGGCTTTTGAGTCCTTTTCTAGCATAATTTTATGCATACACACAAATGAGCTAATTCCTTTTAGATCAGAGATGTTGTAACCTAATGCTTTGGGGTAGCTTTTTAGCAAAACCAAGAGTCTCTCAGTCTCAACTATATTAAGATCATCATTAGCTATAACTGGATGATTCGATTGACTGACTAGAAACTCGTATATCGAATTTTTGGGTAGTTCTTTAAGCTCTATCATTGGTTGATTAAGGATAGGCATATGGTCAAGAGTAATGGTAAGACACACTTAAGCTATCATTAACATATAGGTGATAAAGCTCAGTCTCTTCCTCCTCAAACATAGTCATCGATGTCGGATCTGTAACCAACTCTACAGTCGGTGGTGCTTCCAACGACAACTCTTTTATGCACTCATATATGACATCAATAAAATAACGAGTCTCTTTAATAGCAGGGATCTTTAAAAACTGAGATAATATGAACTCAATATTATCATCACCTACCTCTAAAGTAAGCTTACCTTTCTTCGCGTCTATGATAACTCATGTTGTGGCCAAGAAAGGTTTACCTAAAATGATCGGGATGTGAGAATCCTCCTTAACATCAATCACTATGAAATCGTTGGGGATATACAGTTGGTCGATTTTAACTAGAATATCCTCCAGTGTCCCCACTAGATACTTGATCGATTGATCAACCAACTGAAGAGACATTCTTGTTGGTTTTAACTTACAAAGATTTAGCCTCTCACAAATGGAGAGAGACATGATACTGACACTAGCTCCTAGTTCACATAGGGCATTGTCGATGAAGTACATGCCAATTACACAGGGAATAGAGAAGCTCCCTGGACCCTTTAACTTAGGTGGCATCTTGTTTTGTATAATGGCACTACACTCTTCAGTGAGTGCCATTGTACTGTCATCATCAAGTTTACGCTTATTGGTTAGGATTTCTTTGAGAAATTTTGCATACGAAGGAATTTAAGTAACGTCCTCCGAAAAGGCTTATATGGAGGTGGTGGCACATAAGATTGTTCCTTTTATGCCTCATTATCTTTAAAAGTATGTCCATCCATTACTACTATTAGTTATTTTCCAAGGTTTTGATCAATTACTATCTCAGGCTCTCACTCTGTACTCTTACCTATTATCTAGTCCTTGACTCTCTTGTCCATGGGGCAATCTAATTCTCATCCACTTCACAGTGTTATAGCATTAGCATGCCCTTTCGGGTTGGGCTGTGGTTGGCTAGGAAATACTATGGCTTGGGCGGAAGTAGCCGCATGTTGTTGAGCCACTTGGGAAATTTGGGTTTCGAACATTTTGTTATGTGTGGCCATATAATCTACTTTGCTCGACAGCTGTTTAATCAACTCATTTGTGTGAATGTTTTGACTCATGAATTCCTTATTCTATTGGGTTTGGGACAAAATGAAGTTTTCTATCAACAGTTCTAGGTTGGACTTCTTTGTGGAAACAGGAGTAGCAGAGGCTCCTTTATTATTATTCTGGAAACCAGGTGGAGTGGTGGATGCAGAACTAGGTGCGAACAGAGTGTTGTTATTATTACATGAGAAATTCAGATGATTTCTTCACCCATGATTATATGCGTTTGAATAGGAATTTCCTTGCGCATAATTTACCTGGTCTTGGTTAGTCCTAATAAATAACTGATAGTCGGTGGTGACATGTCCCCAAACTCCACAAATCTAGCAAATAGAAGTCAAAGCAACTACGGTAGCTAGAAGCGTAATGGTCAAGCTATCGATCTTTTAGGTATGTGTGTTTACCTTTGCGTTTACGTGATTGAAACTACTCACTTCATACATATCACTTTTGAGTTGTGTTTTCTCAACACGGTCACGTTCGGTCCTCATTGATAATGATTTTGAGCCATATTCTCTATCAGTTGATAGGCTTCATGAAATGACTTAACTATCAAGGCTCCTGCAGCTGCAGCTTCAACAGTCATCCTCGAGTTATAGAGAAGTCGTTATAAAAAGTGTGGATTATTAACCACTTCTCTAGACCGTGATGGGACAGAGTCTCATCATGTCCTTGTACCTTTCCCAGGCTTCAAAAAGCGACCCATTTTCACCTTGTCTAAAACAGGTTATCTGATTTCTCTAGACCGCAGTTTTACTTGGCGGAAAATAAATCACCAAGAACACCTTTTTTAGCCGATTCCATGTCGTAATGGATTTGTGCGGCATGGATTGTAGCCAAATGCAGGCTCTGTCCCTCAAAGAAAAAGGAAATAGATGTAGCTGAATGACTTTAGGGTCTACACCATTAGTTTTTAACGTGTCATCATATTGTACAAACACAGAGAGGTGTAAATTTAGGTCCTCTATAGGGTAACCAGAGAACTGATTATGTTGCACGATTTGCAGCAGGGAAAGTTTAAACTCAAAATTGTTTTCCTGTATTGCAGGGTTAACAATGCTTGGGTGGGGCTCGTCCTGATATGAGACAACAAAGTCCTTATGAGGACGGGCATCAATTTCAGCCATCACTTAGATGTTGCACTGAGCACAAAATTGTTATTTTCGACGTCTTAGGTGAAGAAAATGCTTGATTTCGTCGATCAGTTGCTCTAAATTGTCCCCTGAGTTACGGGTACTTGGAATACAATCGATAGAGAGGGAAAAGAAATGTCTTAGTCTATACGGTGTAACAACGAATTATGATATTGGCGTAATTGATCCCTAGCAACAACCCAAAAAACTTGATAGATCCACAAGTGTACGGAAATATCAGTTATATTATAAAATGTATTGATCCCACAGAGACCAATGTCAAATACCATTCTCTTTTGTTACTTTGTTTATCTAAGATTATTGCTTATAGTTTTTGTTGTGCAAAGGAAATAAATAAGCTAGTTTTAAAAATCAATTAAAAGACTAAGACCATAATGTGACTCCCGTCAACAAACACCTCTTGCAAAGTCGTTTAGTTTATTGTTAAATTGGGATAATATTTTCCTGTAAGAAAAAAAATCAATTTAAAGGAATCGTTCGCTTTTGCACAATCGAGACCAAATTCAAACCTAAAATCTTTACTGTCGCTTTCTTGTGTTTAGCGTGTTAAATTGAAAAACTTTACTTTTGAAAATTAATTACTTTTAATTATTCGAAAAAGTTGTTTAAGGTGGAAAAAATTTAGGTATTACCGGTTTTAGCTCATCTATTACCGAATTTTAAGTGCATAAACGACCGTCTTCGCGTGTCCGTTTATGTTCTTAAAATTCCTTTTTGAAAATTATTATTTTTACTAATTAATTAAAAGGTGCTTTCGCCGTGCAAATAATTAAAAATTGAATTTTTTTTTTTTTAAAGCTAGATACAGATTATATTCTTTCCCATCAGAACCTATATCTCTAAATTATGCTTTCGCAGTGAACGTTTTAATTAAAAACAGAGTAAAATCAACCCATAAACAAATCACATTTAAATCATACTTTTTACGACTTATATGCAAGCACCCTCGATACGACGACTCCCACATTCCAGCGAAAGATTTAGCCAGATATAATTGAAACGGAACAGAACCAGTAATCATGCTACTTATAATAATATAATAACATATGCACATGCAAGTGGTACTAAAGTAATAAAAAAAATAGTAAATATAGAACCTGGAATGAAGTGAAACAATTACATAAATAATAAGAAAAAGCTCCAATTCTGGTAAAAATGAAATCTACCGTATAAGAAAATTTAGGCACATGTAAAATGCCCTACCCTTGCCACATATGCAATAACGATACATTTGTTGTCATTTTCTACCCTATGGTAAAAAATGAACGTCCCGTTAGTTGGGCAACTAGAAAATTCAACCCTACAAATCACAAATTTCTTTTGAAATTTACTGGTGGTGCCCGATTCAGACAATATTTCCCACCTGTTTTGAATGTTACCTACTACATATCACTAATTAAATACAGTTAATTGCATGTTTAAGATAGTTGTTGAGGCCGTCCAACATGGATGTTGTGGCAACTCTGTGTTCTGGGACAGCGAGGCTGCGAAGATTTTGAAAACATCTGCAGCACAACTACGTTCAACCATGATAGAGGTAACAAACAATGACTTCTTAAATGATTTTGTAAACACTGAAGACTGGAAATATTATTTATACAAGGTTTCCTATTGTAATGTAGGCTGGAATTAATGACCCACTCGAGTTTCCCCTGGCACTCGATGTTATGTTGGGCTTGAAGTTTGCTTTCAAAGTGAAGTGGCACCCTCGGTTTGGAACTTGCTCCATTGTACAGTTTCTTAAAGATAAGAAACTCATCGCTCAACTTGAAGGAGCAGTTGATGGAGATGGTACCTATCAGGTAATCACCATATTATGAAGGAGCAGTGTCGAAATCTGATCAGTGTTGCATTTTTCAGGCAACGAGTGTCAATGATGTCCCTGCCCATTCATCGCAGGTTTATTAGTCATGGCGATATTACAAACGTATTTGGCGATATTACAAACGTATTATTATTCTGTGGTTCAGTTTTAGACATGTGCCTAACTATGCCTGAAATAATGTCCTTGATTGTTTTGTTTGTATATACTGCAGCACATCGAGAGTGTAGGCGAGTAAGCACTCTATGATAAACTAACTCCTGTCACGGTAAAGTAAACTATTGAACCGTGAAATATTACCATTTTTGTTTTACCAGTACACTTCATGTTCCTAATGCTCTTATATAAATTGTCAAGCAGGAAGGTGAAATCACTTCTGCTCAGTTTCCAGATCCCGCCACCCCTACTACTAATGTGAAGAGGATGTCTCCAGATGCTTCCACCGAATCTTCAAAAATACCTATGGCCGGTGGGGACTTTTCATCCACTAAACTTAAGAAAGTTGTGAAACGGGCAAAAAAACAGCTGTGTAACAGCCATGGATGTGGTTCAGCAACGCATGATTTTTTGACATTCCAGGATGCATTACGGATTCTGTTATTTTGGCCGACAGCTTGCATTAAACACTACCATTAAGCATTAACGATGTCTATATTTGGTTAAAAATATTGTGATTTCCAATTACATTACGTGTCTTATTTTGGATCAAGTATGACAATCCGGGTTTTTGATTCGGACGGCAATGAAAAACGATGTTTGTGTTGTGTAATATTAACAATTGAAATGTTCGATGAACCTGTTTATGATCTTATACTTGGTCAAGTCTTTACTATTTATTGTCAATTTTAAGGCCTTTCAAAATAGGTTATTATGTACGTTACACTAAAATCAGAAAACTACTACTGTGTACCTGCATAAAATATCAAAATTTGTCTACCATTAATCCTTATTAATAAGGCGTTTTCTATAAAGATTAACAACTGTAGTAAATTGAGGATCGAAGCAGGAATGGCCGTCTCCATATGGCCTTACAATTTTGTATATCAACTCTATGCAACTGACAAAACGATTTAGCACATTTCAACTAGATAGACCTAACATATTAAATTATTCAAACAATTGGATGACAAGCTTTAATCAATATGTGTCAACAGAAAACTAAATTATCACACTACAATATATAATATGTGTATCACTTAGTACAACTGCATATTATTTTAATCAACACAAGTTGACATCCTTTGGTACTTGAGTAGAAATATATTATATTCGATAATTGGTTATGTGGGATTTTGGATCGAACTCTAGCATGATCGAAGTACATGCTGTAGTCGAAGCATGTATTTGTCGAAGAATGCTTGTTAAATTAGGTTTTAGTGTTTAAACCCTAATTTGTTAAGTTAGCTTGATTATTAAGTTAGCTTGTATAATGGGCCTTGTGGAAAAAGCCCATTAGTTAGTATGTTAGGTTTTATTATAAATAGCATACTAGTCTCTCATCATTGCAACACAGCAAATCCTATTTTAGGGTGAGAGGGTTATTTGTTATTCTTGTAAACTTGTAATCTTGTTTCCAAAGAGAAAGTAAAGAATAGCAGTTATAACCAATTCTTGTGTTCTTCTTTTTCTTTGTTCTTTATTCTTCCTTATTCGATACTTTGTTATTGGCATTGAATTCACAACAAATTGGTGCGGTGAGCGTGGAGAAGATGCCTTCAACAAAATATGAGATTGAAAAGTTCACCGGAGTGAATGATTTCGGTCTATGGCGCTTGAAGATGAAAGCCCTACTGGTTCAGCAGGGTTGTTTGGAAGCGTTGAAGGGAGCGACGGCGATGGACGTTGCGTTAACAGAAAGAGAGAAGACGGCCATGATCGAGAAAGCACACAGCGCAATTTTGTTGAGCCTTGGTGATAAGGTTCTTCGACAGGTATCAAAGGAGACGACGGCATCAGGGTTATGGGTGAAACTTGAAAGTTTGTATATGACCAAATCTCTGGTAAATCGACTCTACCTGAAGCAAGCTTTGTATTCATTCAAGATGATTGAAGACAAAGTGTTGGCTGAGCAGTTGGATATGTTCAACAAGCTGATTCTTGATCTTGAAAATATTGATGTAAAGATTGATGATGAAGATCAAGCGCTGTTATTATTGTGCGCTTTGCCCAGATCACATGCTCACTTCAAAGAAACCCTCTTGTATGGAAGAGAGTCCCTGACCTTTGAAGAAGTTCAATCAGCTTTGTACTCTAAGGACTTGAACGAACGTAAGGAGCATAAACCTTCGACGGTTGGTGAAGGTTTGGCTGTTAAAGGAAAATTCGACAAGAGGAAAGGTAAAAATCAGTCGAAGTCTTATAGTGGTGATGCATCTGGTATTAGATGCTATCACTGTAAGAAAGTAGGTCACACAAGAAAGGTGTGCCCTGAACGCCTGAAAGATCATGGAGGTAAGGATAATGGCAACGCAGCTATTGTCCAAGATGATTTCGAATCATCTGATGTTCTTGTGGTTTCAAGCAAAAACTCGTCGAAGGAATGGATTATGGATTCTGGATGCACTTGGCACATGACTCCAAACAAAGACTTGTTCGAGGAATTATGTGATCAAGATGGTGGATCTGTATTGCTGGGAAACAACAAAGCTTGCAAGATTGCAGGCGTTGGATCTGTGAGATTCAAGCTCCATGATGAGTCAATAAGATTGTTGACTGAAGTCAGGTATGTACCTGATTTGAAGAGAAATTTGATTTCTCTTGGTGAATTCGACAAGAAAGGATATGTTTTTCAAGGAGAGAAAAGTATCCTAAGAGTCATGAAAGGGTCGAAGGAAGTCTTGAGAGGCGTGAAAAAACAAGGCTTGTATACCCTTGAGGCTGAAGTTGTAAGTGGTTCGACAAATGTTGCATCCACGAAACCTTTGTCGAAAACAGAAATTTGGCACATGAGATTGGGCCATGTCAGTGAAAGGGGTCTGGTTGAATTAGGGAAACAAAATCTGCTTGGTGGAGATAAAGTCGAAAAGCTGAAGTTTTGTGAACCCTGTGTACTTGGAAAGTCCTGTAGAATGAAGTTCAACAAAGGCAAACAAAGAACACATGGATCCCTTGATTACATCCATGCTGATCTTTGGGGGCCTGCAAGGTGTCCATCACATTCAGGAGCAAAGCACTTTCTATCCATAGTAGATGACTATTCCAGAAAGGTATGGGTATTCATCCAGAAGACTAAGGATGAAACTTTTGAGAATTTCAAAAGTTGGAAGACTCTTGTCGAAAATCAAACTGGCAGAAAGGTAAAGAGGTTGAGAACCGACAATGGCCTTGAGTTTTGCAATGAGGCGTTCGACAGTTTTTGTGTTGCCTCTGGTATTGCAAGGCACAGAACTACCGCAGGTACTCCACAACAAAATGGTTTGGCTGAAAGGTTTAATCGAACTATTTTGGAGAGAGTTAGATGCATTGTTGACTAGTGCGGGATTAAAGAAGGTGTTTTGGGCTGAGGCTGTTTCGACAGCAGCATATCTGATAAACAGATGTCCTTCGACAGCGTTAGATATGAAGACACCTGAAGAAGTTTGGTCGGGACATCCACCAGATCTCGACAAACTAAGAGTATTTGGCTGTGTATCCTATGCTCACATTAGGCAAGACAAGGTCGAACCTAGAGCTCTGAAATGCATGTTTATGGGATACCCTGAAGGAGTGAAAGCCTATAGGCTATGGTGCCTAGAGCCAGGTCACAGGAGATGTATCACCAGTCGAGATGTAGTTTTCAATGAAACTGAAATGGCTTTCAAGAAAACTGATGATGTTGACGAAGAGCTGGAACAGGTAGAGATTCCTGTTGAGGTGGAGCATGTTGATGCTGAAATGCGTATCCCAGATGAAGTCGAAGAAGAAACAGAAGATTCTGATGATGTTGAGGAAACTGTTGATGACTACCTATTGTCGAGAGATAGGCAAAGAAGAGTCATAAAACCACCTCAGAGACTTGGATATGCAGATCTTGTAGCTTATGCCTTAATCTCTGCAAGTGAAGTTCTAGACGAAGAACCTAGAGATTATAAGGAAGTTATAAGGAGTCGAATGAAGACTGAATGGCTAAAGGCCATGCATGATGAGATGAAATCTCTCCATGATAATCACACTTGGGAACTAATCAAGAAACCTGTTGGGGCAAGGTTAGTCAGCTGTAAGTGGATTTTCAAAGTTAAGGAAGGAATTGAAGGAGTAATGTCGAAGAGGTACAAGGCAAGATTAGTCGCAAGGGGTTTCACTCAGAAAGAAGGTGTCGACTTCAATGATGTATTTTCCCCTGTTGTGAAGCACAGATCCATCCGAATGTTGCTTGCCATGGTGGCTCAGTTCGACCTTGAACTGGAACAAATGGATGTGAAGACTGCGTTCTTGTATGGTGACTTAGATGAAACAATCCTGATGAGGCAACCTGAAGGGTATGTCGAAAAGGGGAAAGAAGATTATGTGTGCAAACTGAAGAGATCTTTATATGGACTTAAACAATCTCCTCGACAGTGGAATAAGAGATTCGACAAGTTCATGGAACACATAGGTTTCATTAGAAGTCAGTTCGACCATTGTGTTTACTCCAGATTTCGACCTGAAAATTCATTTGTAATTTTGTTGCTTTACGTTGATGATATTCTGATAGCAAGCAACAATGTCGAAGAAGTAATGAGGGTGAAGGCTGAACTCAATAAGGAGTTCGACATGAAGGATCTGGGAGCTGCATCTAGGATTCTTGGAATTGACATTCGAAGAGATAGAAAGCAGTCGAAATTATGCTTATCTCAAGAGGCATACCTACGAAAGATTCTTGACAAGTTTGGTATGTCGAATTCAAAGCCTGTTGTGACTCCAACAAACCCTCAATTCAAGCTGAGCATTGATCAATGTCCCAGTACTGATGTCGAAAGAACCTATATGAACAGCATCCCATATGCTAATATAGTTGGTTCTTTGATGTATGCTATGGTCTGTACTAGACCCGACATAGCATATGCAGTAAGTCTTGTAAGCAGGTACATGGCGAATCCTGGAAAGGCTCACTGGCAAGCGTTAAAGTGGATTCTAAGGTACATAAATGGGTCTCTGAACAGAGTCTTAATTTATGGTGGAGCCTTGGGTGAAGATAGTAAAGCAGCTGTCGAAGGCTATGTTGACTCTGATTATGCAGGCTGTATGGATTCCAGAAAATTTATTTCTGGATATGTTTTCACTATGTTTGGTACAGCAATTAGTTGGAAAGCAACTCTTCAGAAGGTTGTTGCCTTATCAACTACTGAAGCAGAATATATTGCCCTAACTGAAGCTGTGAAAGAAGCATTGTGGCTTGAAGGTTTTGCAAAGGAACTGAAACTTCAAGGTCAAGGTATCACTGTTAAATGTGATAGTCAAAGTGCAATACACCTGTCGAAGAACTCAGCCTATCATGAGCGAACCAAGCACATAGATGTGAGGCTGCATTTCGTCAGAGGGGTAATCGAGCGTGGAGAAGTCCAAGTGCTGAAGGTCTCGACAGATCACAATGCCGCTGATATGATCACCAAAACATTGCCAAGTTGCAAGTTTTTCCACTGTATGCAGTTGATAAAGCTGCATGAAGAAAGCTAGTTAGTGTCTCTTGATGCTGTAGAGTTAGGTCCAAGGTGGAGATTTGTGGGATTTTGGGTCGAACTCTAGCATGATCGAAGTACATGTTGTAGTCGAAGCATGTATTTGTCGAAGAATGCTTGTTAAATTAGGTTTTAGTGTTTAAACCCTAATTTGTTAAGTTAGCTTGATTATTAAGTTAGCTTGTATAATGGGCCTTGTGGAAAAAGCCCATTAGTTAGTATGTTAGGTTTTATTATAAATAGCATACTAGTCTCTCATCATTGCAACACAGCAAATCCTATTTTAGGGTGAGAGGGTTATTTGTTATTCTTGTAAACTTGTAATCTTGTTTCCAAAGAGAAAGTAAAGAATAGCAGTTATAACCAATTCTTGTGTTCTTCTTTTTCTTTGTTCTTTATTCTTCCTTATTCGATACTTTGTTATTGGCATTGAATTCACAACAGGTTAAACAAGTGTATTTCATCTTCTTCATACAAATGTTTATCTGTTAGTACAACTGCCTATTATTTTAATATTAAGGAAGTTTACATGGTTTCGTGGCTCAGTTGAAATATATGTCATTCAAAAACTGATTAAACATTTGTATAACATCTTCATACGTGAGAATCCTAGGTGAACAAACTTTTCAACGACCTTTTCGCATCCTACTAGCATAATGGCTTCCACGTTGGTACGTTCATCCTACTTTTCGCTTTCTAACACTAAATTGTTGTTCCACTATTCAATTGAAATACTTTCAATTGCCTAATTATAAATGTTGACACCATAACGTTGTTGTTAACAATACGATGCGACTTATGTTCATTTGGCATGTTTTTACATTGAACTGTCGTTTATGAACAAACGTTTTCAATAGCTGAATGCCGCTTCACCATTGCAAATAACAGGTATCTTAAAATATGGCCAATGATGATGATACTCCAGCTACCATCGCAAGAAAGAGGAGAAAATTGATGTTAACGGCGAAGAGAAATAACCTCTGGTTCCAACCAGGAGAATATTATGCCTTTACCATCCACACAAGCCAGTCGTGTGACATCATCCTATCAGTGACTACAAACTCCACCATTGACAGATGTTGGTAACCCGCGTCATACCGCACCCTCAACACATGTGTTCCCCACAGGCGCTCTGAAATGCATGTTGGGGTAAATTTGTTTTCTGCATTTGATTCGGTATATCAAAGAGACAATCGAACACATGTAGACAAACAACTCCCACTATTGATCAACTTCAACCACCAAACTTTGATACATCACATTTACCGCACAGAGGCGGAGCATTGTCTGCTCCTGCGTTAAGGCATGTTCGTTCGCCTGCACCGAGGCCTACACCCTCAATTAGAATGGCCCAAACCATATCATCCCACCCACCAAAGTTTATTGGACGTGTTGATAAATCTGCATCTACTTCTTATACTCATACATCCAACAACATCCTTCCCCGCAATACAGTCCAATTGAATAATAATAGACACACGTTATCCAATGATCAGAGTTCTAACGTTACACATATCATGGACCCGACTTATTCTTCCAACGATGAAAATTCATGTGTTGGCCATGATGCTAGGTATTTTTACTTCCTAATAATGACTGCCCATCTTTGACTGCAACTGTCATGTGTTTATTAATGTCATGCATATTTTGGGTGTAAGTGACTTGAGGGAATATTACAGCTGTAACTCGGTTGATCGATCAGAAATACATGACAGGGACATGCTAGATGTACTCACTCCAGAATTTCTAAACTCATTAAAGACTTCTGGTTTGCCTAACCATCACATCAAACTCAAGGTCGGGACACCAGTCATGCTTATGCGAAACATCGATCAGTCTGAAGGGTTGTGTAATGGTACACGGCTAATTGTGACAAAGATGACAACATACGTTCTTGAGGTCCATATCATGGGGGGAGACAACATGACAACGTCATCTATATTCCGAGTATGGTCATGTCCCCTTCAGTCGCCCTGGCCTTTCGAACTTAGCTGGAGACAATTTCCAATCATTGTCTCCTACGCGATGACAATTAACAAGTCACAGGGACAGTTGTTGGATTGGGTGGGCCTTTACATTTCCCGGGATATCTTTACTCATGGGCAAATATATGTGGCCTTTTCAAGGGTTAGCAGTAAGAAAGGAATAAAAGTACTGGTACACGACGACAACAATGATGCCAAGATTACTACAACAAATGTGGTTTACAAGGAGATTTTCAACAACATATGATCGGGCCCCTTTGTTATGTTTGTGTTAGCTTACATTGTTACATGTTTTTTGTGGGAACTGTGTGTTTGAACAACTTTGTGAATGTGTCCAATGGTTTTGGTGGGTTGAATTTTACTGAGGTGTGTTATTTGGCTTGATATGGGTTGAGTTGAAATATCAATTTTGTTAGTTCAGACACTGGAAATGGATCCACCCCTTTATAGTTTATTACTTTTGATTAGAAACTCCAAAATTATTACTAATGTTTTTTAATTTATGGCAGGCTAGGTGACAGTTAAGTAAAATACAATGGCTGTATACCAACACTTCCCTTCATGTTAATAGTTTAGTTGAAATAACACAGTTACTTGATACAAAACAATAACATGACCCGGATTTTGTAAACATAACAAACGTAATTAACCCTGCCTATTTGAAACGCAGCGAATTGTACATTACCTCGATTTAAATCCGTGTGTGGGTTGAAACAGCTTTGACTCGCACTGTGTCCTTCTGTTCTCACCGCATTGTTTCAAAGTGACGAAGTGGTTGTGCAGTTTTTCAGATCCAAACACCTGCTGCAATGGCTTAATATGTGTGGTAGAGCTTTCGTGCAGGAAACGACTGTAGGAAATAACATGCTTAATTCCGTACTAAAGCTGACTATCTGATATTTATAAACTCCACACTCATTTTTGAAATATTGTTAAAATCAGAAAAAAATTTATATTACAAACCTACTATTGACTGTGTAACGTATACTGCATCTGTGGGTGGGATCTGTACCTAAATACCAGAGTTCCATGGCTGTCCCGACCTGTAATGCTTTAAAGAGAGAAGTGGATGGGTTGAGGCTCAACTATTTACTTCAACCAAAGCATGCAATATATTTACAATATCTTTTGTCCACATTGCAACCATTTTGAAGAAATAGGAAGAGAGAATGAGAGTGAACTATGAACTTTTTTCTTTTATATATTGTCCAACTAACTTTTAAAAATGAGATACAATATGATTTATATATAGTCACATGATAGAATACTTAAAGTTACAATATTTACTAAGGAATATATTTCTCACTGCTCAAGGGAATCTGACTTTTGATTTACCCAAGACTGATTTGAATTTAACCAACAAAACTCCCCCATAAATTCAAATATTCCTTCGATCCATCATGCCAAGCATTTTCTTGCCTCTGTCGAAAAACTCCTTCGACAGTGGTTTTGTAAGGATGTTTGCTGTTTGATCTTTGTTTGCAACATGCTTCAGTTTGATGCTTCCATCCTTCACATGTTCTCGAATAAAATAGAATCGAACATCAATGTGCTTACTTCGTTTATGGTTGACTGGATTCTTCGTCAGTTCGATTGCAGATTTGTTGTCAACTTGAATTATTGTTGTGTCTTTCTGTTTCGATTCCATCTTGCTCAACAATCCTCTTAACCATATTGCATGGCATATACACCAGGATGTTGTTACATACTCTGCTTTACAGGTCGAAAGAGTTACAATGGGTTGCTGATCTTACTGGATCAGAAATGGACCGTCACAGCTGGCTCGGGCAGAAGTTGAATGAGATGGGGGTACCTGCAAGACACTCTGATGGCAAAATAAGAAGCGGAATGAGCAAGCAAGTATGAGTTTAGAGATGAATTGAATACCTGACCCTCTTGAGAGAGAGAGAGTATTTATAGCCCCCAGCGTTGGGCCAAGGTTCCCACTCTTGGGCCACGTGGAGGTCCAATAACAAGAACTGCCAGGGCTTACGTGTGTATGAAGTCCAGCAAGTGGGCTCCCCCCTGGTCAACTGCTCCGCGAGAATAGGTTTGGACCCGTGATTCCCGGAGGGCAGTTTAAGATGTCTGTCATGGGATCGTGGGCCACGTCCTCCAACGGTCGAATGGGGAGTTGCCCAACAGTCCCTGACTTGGACTGTCTTTGGGCTTCCCATTCAAAGGGCAAGTGTAGGCCCAATCCAGATCAGGAGCCCCCCAACTTATTGCCCTTGAGCTAGAGGGCGGTGACTTGAGTCCAGCTCTCGATACTGGAGACTTGGTCGAGGTAGAGGGCCAAAGTCCCCGGAAGGAGCGAGTCGTTGCCCTCGTGGGGGCCAAGTTCGAGTACGTCGGGGAATATCATGGATAAGCGGGGAGCGGGACCGAAGGGGTCAACCGCTTGATCGAGAGGACGTATTAGTGGCTGAGAGCTTCTGCGAGATTCCCTTTGACATGCCCGTCTCCTGGGAGTTGTTAATTTATCGAGCATTACCTCGTCCCCGAGGTGGATGAATAAACGTGACCCTACGTGCACTCTAATGTCGAGCGTTTCCTCGTGTAGGTATCTGCCTCGTACGTGTTTGGGGGCGACACATAGAAGTCGGGCGTATGCTCGTCAGTCCAGAAGGGACTCGTGGTTGATAGTTGAGCCACGTGGCTAGTGCTTTGGGGTGCCACCCCTTCAAGGAAAAAGCAAAAGGGGTCAATGAGATGATGACCCTTCATGAGGGATCCCTTGGGGCGTGGGTCGCCTATAAAAAGGGGGCCCTTGGGTCTCATTTGTCATCTTCTCAAGTTTCTTCTCAATCTTTTCTTCGTTCATGGTGTGAAGCGATTCTCTCAACTTCAGTTTTCTTTGCTCGTGGTGTGAGGTGATTCTCTCAACTTTTTAGTTTCTCTCTCCAAGTTCTTCATCCAAGTAAGTTATAACCTCTTAACACCATATTTATTGAGCGTTTCTGAATCAAATGTCAAAATTTTATCTTGATTGGATGAATATTCATGAGTTTTATGATGAATACTCATGAATGTTCGTTTGAGTTCATGGATTCCGTGTCGAGCACTCATGAATGTGTAGGACACTTATGAACATTCATTAGATATAGTGTTGGGGACCTTCCCAGACAATGTCTGTCATAGGGGAGGATTCCCTAAGATAGTGGGTATCCCGGGCTTTTTGCTCGACGAGTGATCCCCCCGTCTACATGTCCTCGTAATGTAATGGTCCGCTTTAGCATGTCGAGAGCTTGGGTCGAGTTCGTCGCCCTTTCACTTGATCTGTCGTGGAAGAGTGGATTTGATAATCTCAAATTCACTAATTTCCCTTGCTTTTCAGGTATAATGGCGCGTTCAGTCGGGGACGACATTCTGGCCATCCATCACGAAGACGAGCCCCGTACCGACGAGGACCCTTTGGCTTGGGTTGCTCCTGAGCCCCAGGATAAACGATCGTGCTTTTCCCAGGATGCGACAGATGCATTCAATTGACCGAAGGAACACGCAGAAGGGGCCCCGGCCAATTGGATGCTCCAAATCCCCCATCGGGACCGAAGGATATGCTTTACGTATCCGGGAAAACGGTTCCCCGTGTACGAATTTTCTTTCAAAGAGGCGGGGATGCGCCTGCCCTTCAATGATTTCCAGGTCGGGGTTTTCCAATGGCTTCAGTTGGCGCCTTCCCAACTTCATCTGAGCGCGTTGGTGTTTATACAGGCGTTTGAGCTCGTCTGCCAGTACTTGGGGATAGGCGCCACGCTATCCCTTTTTTTCCACATCTTTCACCTACAAAGACAATCTGTCCGAGGGGGCAGGCGTGTGTATCCTTCAAGCAGTTCGGGAAACTCTTCCGACCTTATCTGGAGTCCGTCTGAAATTTTAAAGAGAGGTACTTCATCGTGAAGCCCCTGACGGATGCGGCTATAGATTCTCTCTATACCCAGGTGGAAGAGGTGGAGGACGGGCGGCCAGTTACCCGACTTATGTCTAGATTCCCGCTCGAATGGCAGTGGAAGTATTATGAATAAAGGCCCGAATACTATGCAGTGAAACCCGAGGACTTGGACGCCCAAGACCAGCTTTCATACGAGAAGCTGTCGACTTATGTTAAAAGTTTCTCCCCCGCGAAGTGCGTGGACATGAACAAAAACCTGTTGTTCGACGACGAGGGGGAGTATCTCTTAGTCAATAGGTTGATCAACACTAAGGCCTTGCTCGAGTGCTCCTCGAATGGGGAAGCCATGAGGCTTTTGGATAAGGTGTAGCCGTTAATTTGCTCCTCTTTATGCGGGGACGTGCTCACGCTGTTTTTTATTTTTCCAATTTGACTAACGATTCTTTTTTATTGCAGGTCGAATGTCATCTCTTTCCGAGCGTTTGTTGAAGCTGAGGCCCAAAAACGCATCCACTTCTGGGCCACGAAACAGAGTCACCCAGCTTCAGGAACAGGCCAAGTCTTCCGGTCGGACCAGTGGTTCCCCTTCCTCATCAAAAAATCCTTCTTCTTCTACTGATCCGGCCCAGATTCCCGTCAACGAGCCCGTGGCTAAGAGGAAGCGTGTAGATAACGTTGTGGGCGTAACGCCCCAGGGTCACAAAACTCCCGCGGGGGTTTTCGTATTGCCTCCTTGCTATCTAAATCGCGACCTCTTCAGCGAGAAGAACTCCCTCGACGTGCGCGAGGAGGAGAGGGAGGAAATCTTGACTGAAGACAAGGAGGTTCGCCGGAAGCACTTGGCCGAGGACGTGGCGGCTGTGATGAGGGTTCTCAAGATGGCCCTTTCGCTCAACAATGAGTCCTAGAGTGCTTAAGCCTCCCTCGACACGGCCTATGCAAAAATCCAAAAGCTGAAGGCTAAAAATGAGAAGTTGAAGTGTGATATCCTCAACCACGAGTCAAAGTTTGAGGCCCAAGTTCGGCTTCTCAAGGATTTAAATGAGCTGAGACCTCAACTGGAGGCAGCCACTAAGGATAACGAGCGTCTGGTTGCTCGTAATTTAGAGTTAGAGAGGATCACCGCAGCGACCGATGATGAAACCGAAACAGAGAAGAACATGGCGACCAGGGAGGATTTGATTGCTCGCATCCGCGTGCTCAAACAGGATGTGGTTGATACCCTTGGCTACGGCTTCAACACTGCCGTCGAGCAGCTCAAGATCTTAAACCCGGGGGTCGAGATAGAGGTCGAGGGGGTGGGCCCATTTAACCAAGTCGTTGACGGGAAGATCCTTTATCCCCCTGACAGCAGCGACGGGGAGGATGAAGTTTGATTGTATTTATTGTTCAGGGCCTACGTGTCCGCTGTTATTTTAGGGCATGTGTGCCTACTATCATTCTTTTAGTTTTGTGGCCGTCGTGCCTAAACTGTACTTTTGAACAACTTCGGCCCTTGTGGTCGGCATATTATAATCGCTTTGTTTATAACTGTCTATTTGATGAATAACAATATTTGATGCATGTGTCCGACCATTGTTTTGGTCGTTATGAATTTTTTCACGAAGTTCGCATTTATGTGGAGGTACCCGTTCTACCTTAATGTCGGTTCGACACACTTCGAAATGTGTCGAGGGCGAGGAGTACGGATTTTCGGGACGGGTGTATGATCGCGATCGGGATCCTACGCTCGTGGTGTGAACTGCCCATCGCAAGCTGTGTGTTCTGCCGTGTTGGGGTACTTTGACAGCGGAGCTCGACCGAGGTGTCCTTGTCGGGCAAGTCTGTTGTTCATCAAAGTGAGAAACATTATGCCTTTGTTGGTTGGTAGGTCGGGCCCGTACCTCGACTCGCCTACGTGGTCGAGCTCTTCCCTTCGTCGACTGAAGGTGAATATTCGACGCAAAATTCCCCAGCAGGTGAGGGGCTTTAGCTATAATATTGTTTTAGCTTCGCAGCATTCCAGGGTCGCGGTAGTGGTTCTCCATTTAATTGCTCGAGATAATATGCTCTGGTTCCCGTAGCTCCTTGAACGCGATAAGGTCCCTCCCAGTTTGTGGCCAACTTCCCTTCACGGGAATACTTCTGGTTTCTCTGCAA